TCTATCTATCTATCTATCTATCGATCATCTATCTATCTATTCATTCAAACACAAAACCAGTTTTTTTTGTAATACATGTGAATTTTTCTAATACTCTTTATAAAATTATATTATTATATTAATATATTTTATGTTTACCAAACAATGAATATAAAACCTCATTATTCATTTATTTATTTTGTCATACTTTTTTGCATTATGGTAATTACCATATTGTCAGCAACAACTTTTTTATTTATTTATTTTATTTCATTATTATTATTTTGTTTGTTTTTTTAAATATGACCTGGGCATGATAATGTGAGATTTTAGTAATTTAGGTAAAGCCTAATGTCTCAGGCTGATCTCAGCTGTTATATTACCTGTGAACACGGTCACCAAAACCTTTGCCAAACTTCAGCTTTATGTGAATAGTGAATTAAGACAAATATCCTCATATAAAGTTAATGGCTGTAAACCAGCACACACTGAACAGCGTTTACCCAGAAACCCTCGGGAAACAAAACTAATGCGTTTCACCCAAAGTGGCACATGTGTCTGCAGGAAAACGGTGACAACACACCCATGAAGGTCATCAGCTCCTGTGTCTCTCTGTGTGTATGTGTGTGTGTGTGTGTGTGTGTGTGTGTGAGTTCAGAGTTTTCGCTCAGAGCAAGGTTAGTTCAGCCAGCATCTCTAATAGAGTCACTGAACACAACACTCACTACTGTCTGTCTGTCTGTCAAATGAAACTCTAAATGAATAGCATGTGACAGTACACTCAAATACTGTAAGTTGTGCAATTGTAAAATCAGGGTCAATGAGAAACTCATTCTGTCTCAGTGTCATGTCTTTGTGCTTGAGACCGGCTTGAGGACTTTGTCCACATCACAACTGATCTCAGCTGTTATATTACCTGTGAACACGGTCACCAAAACCTTTGCCAAACTTCAGCTTTATGTGAATAGTGAATTAAGACAAATATCCTCATATAAAGTTAATGGCTGTAAACCAGCACACACTGAACAGCGTTTACCCAGAAACCCTCGGGAAACAAAACTAATGCGTTTCACCCAAAGTGGCACATGTGTCTGCAGGAAAACGGTGACAACACACCCATGAAGGTCATCAGCTCCTGTGTCTCTCTGTGTGTGTGTGTGTGTGTGTGTGTGTGTGTGTGTGTGAGTTCAGAGTTTTCGCTCAGAGCAAGGTTAGTTCAGCCAGCATCTCTAATAGAGTCACTGAACACAACACTCACTACTGTCTGTCTGTCTATCAAATGAAACTCTAAATGAATAGCATGTGACAGTACACTCAAATACTGTAAGTTGTGCAATTGTAAAATCAGGGTCAATGAGAAACTCATTCTGTCTCAGTGTCATGTCTTTGTGCTTGAGACCGGCTTGAGGACTTTGTCCACATCACAAGTAATGTTGTCTCTTTTGCTAGACAAGGAGAAAAAACCCTCTGGTCTGACAGATCCAACCTTGATAACACTCTCTAAACCTTCCTCTTTCTCTCATCATCCTCCACTTCTTACATGTACTCTTCCTCCTCTCCTTCTCTGATTGTGTCCATCTATTGTTCGTATCATCATTCAGTCACCTGTGCCACTTGTGCTCTCTGAAGTGGCTCATATTATGTACAGTTGGTTTGATCACATCATTAGAAACAAGAGGGAACAATTTTTAATCATTGTGTGTAAACGATGACAACTGTGCTTTAGTTGTGTTTAACTTTTGCCGCTTATGTTCAGCATTTTGCAGCACAAATGCATCACAGTGTGATAAGTGTTTAAGTGAATGAGAATGTGTTTAGAGATTTGCAAATAGAGCCTAACTGCCTGAACGTGTTTAAGGTTTAGCAGAAAGAGTGCTTTATTCGACAAATTGGTTTAAGCTAGTGAGAATTTGGTTCAGAGATTGGGGTTTAGTGTTTTAGCAATTCAGAAAAACTGTAATAATTGTGATTACATGTTTTGAGCCAAATAACTGTGATTAACTAACTGTTATTTTTATTTTCAATAGCTTAGTTCTCAGATGCGACGTGAGATCTCACCTGTTGACGTACTGCATAATGTTTCCCGGCCAGGCTAACTGCACCTTCAGCTGGCCCTTGTGCTCTACGAAGAAATCCACGAGTGTGCGCGTGACGGTGGCCGACGTGTGGAAGAAAAAGGCGGGAATCCACAGGATGGCACCATCCAGCTTCTTCAGGCTCAGGTAGAAGTTGTTCCTGTCCTGGATGGTCAGCAGGTTGTTGTAGTATTTCTCCAGGATGCTGGGGTTGAAGGTGGTGAGGTTGGTCCGGCGGCCCACGTCGCGATGGAAGACTTCGGTGGGAGCGAAGTTGCAGCGGAAGACGAAGTCGTAGCTGTCGATCTGCGCGCCGCAGCGGCTGCCGGTGAGGATGCCACTGTTTCCTACCACCGCGCAGGTGTTGAAGCGCTTGTTAAGGACGGGAGATGAGTCTGGGAGCAGAGACCTGAGGTTCTCGCCGATGGAGAAGACGTATTTGTGACTGGAGTAGTCGTAGTGCATTAGCTGACCCACACGGACGCTGCTCTTGGTCAGCGTGAAGTTGTGCGGGACGTCGATGTACTGCGCGATCTCTTTACTGGAAAACAGATGCAACAACATGATATGAGCGAAGCAGAAAGAAAAATGAAGGGTAAAAGAATTAGAACACCAACTGTAATATCACTATTTAAAAATATTCATATTTATTAATATTTAATATTATGTACACATGTGAGAGTTGATGTTTTAAAGAATAAAATAATATATATTTTTTTGTACATTTGATACATTTAAAAATAAATACATAAACATACAAATCAAGGGCAACAACTGTAACCATAGTTCTATCATGAGAACTCTGAAGATTTTAGCATGGTAATGGATATGTCAATGTTAATGTATTTGGTCTTGGCGGAATAGATCTGCTACACTGCTGCTGCTGTTGGTTATGGCTGTATTTGTAGATGGCTGCTGCTGTTGGTTATGGCTGTATTTGTAGATGGCTGCTGCTGTTGGTTATGGCTGTATTTGTAGATGGCTGCTGCTGTTGGTTATGGCTGTATTTGTAGATGGCTGCTGCTGTTGGTTATGGCTGTATTTGTAGATGGCTGCTGCTGTTGGTTATTGCTATATTTGTAGATTATTGCTGCTGCTGCTGTTGGTTATTGCTGTATTTGTAGATGGCTGCTGCTGTTGGTTCTTGCTGTATTTGTAGATTATTGCTGCTGCTGCTGTTAGTTATTGAATCAGAATCAGAATGAGTTTTTATTGCCAGGTATGTTTACACATACGAGGAATTTGTTTTCATGACAGAAGCTCCACAGTGTAACAGAATGACAGTGACAGAACAAAAACACAGATAATAAAATATAGAAAAATTGCTGTATTTATAGATAATTGCTGCTGTTGGTTATTGCGGTATTTGTAGGTTATTGCTGCTGCTGCTGTTGGTTATTGC